ACGCACCGTTGATAACCTCTTTTGACGCACCGTTGTTGACTTCTTTTGACGCACCTTTGTCTTTCCTTTGCCGCTCAACCTTATCTTTGCTCGCAACGTTTTCTTTGTCCGTAACGTTTTCTCTACCACTGCTCGCTCCATCTTCCGCCCCATTGTCTTCGCCCGGGCAGATTCCTCGGGCTTCTGCCGATAATTCGTTCAGTCTAGCAGCTAGCGACGCCTTTGCGCCGCTTGCGTTGACACCAACAGCAGCGCACCAGCTTTTCAATTGCAGAAGCGAGTACTTCTCAGAGTTAACTCCTTCGGACTCCATACTTTGTTCTTTTTGTAGGAATGGTTCTAACGACCACTTCTGATGAAATATGCACGCACCTTTGGTCTGGAAAATATCCTCTTACTTTGCTGCTCCAAGTATGTAAATGTGCACGTACTCCAAAATTATAGTTGTACACGTACTCCAAATTGTAGTTGTGCTGTACTCGACGTTTTAGCAAAATATATACTCACTGCAAATGGTGTTTTAAATTACCAAAGACTTCACGGCTTCGCTATTCGATCCAAAGTGATCTTTATTTCATGTTATTTTCTGACAAGCATTCTTACAGTTATGCCTTACGGTAGAAACACAAAATCACTTAAGGTCTAACCACATAATGCTTAATCTATTACTTAGAACAAAATCCTTACACTCTGTACAGACTACTACTACAAAGTCAAAGTGGGTTGGAATGCTAATTAAATTCCCTTTCATGGACAAATATTGCCATTGAGCCGGAATTCTACCATAGTAGTCTTAAAGATTTTGAGACCAGAAAGATGACCCACTGCTTAAAAAACAAAAAAAAACTGAAACCTCAATTTAAAATACATGGTGTCCTGCTACGATTTCTTATATTTTTTATGATTTTCTTGCAGCTATGTAGCCAAGTCACGTATTTATTTACCACAAACAGCAAACTGGGTGTAGTGCTATTCAAAATCTTTCATTTGGGCCTTAGTATAAATTTCCAGGTCTGAATAAAAACTCAGAATATCCGGATATCATAGTGTGTATAGTGTGTTGAAATTCGAATATCCGAGTAATATATAGATGCGTATACAACACTTCATTACAAAAACAATTGTTTTTATTGGAAATTTTTAGATTCGTATATCCGGTTATCCGGACAAGTGTACAGAGCTGAAATAAAATCATAACCAAATCTAAAAAATCATGCCAGGATACCATTCTTTCTTTTCTGGTTTATAAAAATTGGTTTCTCGTTAGAAATTTTTTTTAGGAACCGGTAGTTTGTTTTACTTTTTATTCGAATAGCACTATTATTGGCTTACATATTTTATCAATATCAAAAAGTAATTACGCTCTAAAAAGTGCATGGAAAACTACTATTGAAAAGTGTTTATTTTTCAACCAGAATCTGTTCAAGTATACGCACAAGATGTTCAAGATTTGATTTTGAACATGAGTTGTTTAAAATATACACATGAAATGTTTAAAATTACAAACATTTTGAAAGTAAAAATATATTTTTTTAAAATAATAAATACTAAGTGACAGGGGCGCACGCAGGAATATATTTTGTGGGGGAAAGGGTTTATACTTCTAAATATATATCATCAGCAAATACCGAAAATTCGCTCTTTAAAATACATTTATGAAAGTTTTATTTACAGTATGAAATAAATAAGCAAACTATTTAAAGTATCATCAATTGCATTTTATTTACATAAAATTTACAAAGAACTCAGACATTTTTAACCGGCTTCAAAAAAGGGGAGGTTATCAATTCATCGGAGTATTTTTACTTCTTTTATTTATTCCACCACATAACTTTGCACCGCGTGAACTGATTCCAATAATTATTTTTTTTTTTTTACCGGAAAGATGGTACCTTAAGGGTCGTCTCGTAATTTGGTTTAGATCCGATCATTAAATCATGAAAAAATTAACGGTTAAAGATGCACTCAACTTTCAAAAGTAATACAAAATTTTACAAAAGAATTTTAATATAAATAAATTAAATAATTTCACGAAATTTGTACACTTTTTTATTAATTTTCGTCGATTTCTGGTTTCTCATTTTTTAATAATTCGAATAACTAATATTTAACTGAACTTGTATTTTTATCATGTAGCTCATTTTGGTGGAACGAATTCGAAGTTAGCAAATTAAATCTTCGAATGCTTATTAAGTACATATCAGTGGTAAACTTTTTTAGGCTGTGAAGTGTAAAAAGCAACAGTAAGTGAGTATGCATTGCATATTTTTAAGACAATGTTTTCATTCGCAGTTAAACTTTAAAGAGCTCTCAAGAAAAAAAGAAAAATTCTTACAAAATGACGCACAAGAAATGGAAAAGAAAATTTTTTCTTTCAAAATTTCTTATATCATAATAAATTTAGCCCCAAAACCCACCCCTTGTGTGCGCTACGTGACAAATTTGATATGTAAAAGTAAACAGACATTGTTTAATTTTGCACACACTAGGAGAGGAAACTGGTTACCTCTCTTTATATGCGTAAATTTAAACATAACAAGAACAACAATATAACAATGGCAGTAATTTTCCTTGAACGAGAATTTCATAAGCTTCTCAACAGATTTTGATTGTAATTGAAGATATTGCTTCCATCGAAAGCGCTATGCTTAATTCGTTGAGAGTGTTCAAAACGCACGGTGTGGCAGACCTCTTATCCAAGAACATAACTTTATGCCTCGGGCAGCTTGGATTCAGAACAGGTATGTAGGGTTACAGTAGTATTAATGAATTAATCACTTGATTACAGCGGCAATGTATTATAAAATTACTAGGAATTTTTTTAGAACTTTGTTCCTGCAGCAATAATGCTTATCGCTATCCAAAGGTGAAAAGGTGCCTAGTCCACTTTTTATACCTTTCATGAGCATGAAATGGTATTATAACTTTGGTCCGATGTTTGTAAGTACCAGAACAAAAAGAGATAGACCCATTAAAATGTATACTTATATGATCAGAACGTCGAGCTGAGTTGATTTAGCCATGTCCGTCTGTCCGTCTGTCTGTCTGTTTGTATGCAATCTAGTCTCTCAGTTTTCGAGATATCCGGATCAAATTTGGTAGGTGGGTGTATTTTTATAATGTATTAATCATTTGTCGGAACCGGAAGAATCGGACCACTATAACATATAGCTCCCATACAACTGATTGTTCAGATATGAGATTTTTCGTTATAACTTCTCCATTTATGCAGCTACGAACATGAAATTTTGCAGTACTTGCACCCATTATCAACAGAATACTTACAGTGAAAATTACAAAGATCGGGTCACTATAACCTATAGCTCCCATACAACTGATTGTTCAGATATAAAATTTTGCGTTATAACTCCTCCATTTATATAGCTAGGAACATGAAATTCCGCACTGTTTTCAATAATTATCAACAGAAAACTTACAGTGAAAATTAAAAAGATCGGGTAACTATAACCTATAGCTCCCATACAACTGATTGTTCAGATATAAAATTTTGCGTTATAACTCCTCCATTTATATAGCTAGGAACATGAAATTCCGCACTGTTTTCAATAATTATCAACAGAAAACTTACAGTGAAAATTAAAAAGATCGGGTAACTATAACCTATAGCTCCCATACAACTGATTGTTCAGATATGAGATTTTTCGTTATAATTCATCCATTTATGTAGCTAGGACCATGAAATTTCGCGCTGTTTTCACTCATTATCAACAGAAGACTTACAGCGAAAATAACAAAGATCGGGTCACTATAACCTGCAGCCCCCATACAACTGATTGTTCAGATATGAGGTCTTTTATCATAACTCCTCCATTTATGCAGCTAGGAACATGAAATTTCGCACCATTTTCACTCATTATTAACAGAATACTTACAGTGAAAATAACAAGGATCGGGTGACTACAACATATATCTTCCATACATCTGATTGTTCAGATATGGGATTTTACTGTAAAACTCCTTTATTTGAACAGCTAAAACCGATAAATTTCGTAAGATATTTTATAAATAATAATACAAAGTCTACTGAGAAAATCGTCAAAATCTATGCTGTATAAGCTTTATCTCCTATAGCACTGATTGTTCAGATACCAGTTTTTGCGATATATCTCCTTTATGTAGGAAACTAAACCCAATAAATTGTGTTACCGGTTTACATACCGATCACATAGCAGTGAAAATCACTTAGATTGGTGCCATATAAAGTATATCTTCCATACCTCTGATTGTTTAGATGCGATTTTTTATATAAGTATGTAACTCCTCTATCGATGTATGCAGATGTATTCAAAAGCAGTAATCTGTCAAAGTAAAATTTGCAGATGTTCATGAAAGGTATGAAGCCTTCGGCATAGCCGAAGACAGCGCTGCTCTTACTTGTTTTAAATTTATTTAGTTTTTGATGCAGAAAGTCAAATAATACGAAACTACATCGAATTTTCGTCTGTCCGGCATTTTTTCTAAAAATGGACTTGGCATCTTTTCACGTTTAGACAACGTTATGCTTCTTTCTTGCTATACAACGAGTTCACTAAATACACACATATACATAAATACTTATATACTACATCGAACCATAAAACTTCCATAGAAAATTTACCATCAGTTTATACTTACCAGCTAGCACAACTTGAAACATGCAAGGTTGACTTTGTGTTCCAACTTCATTAGAAGCCCAGCATGATAAAGTGCCGTAATCCTAAAAGCAATAAGAACACAATAACATTGCCTTAAGAGTGAAATAAATGTTCAAAATCAAGTAAAATTAAATTTTTGAAAGAATTTTAAACTTAAGTTAAGCAATTCGAATTACTAGTTTTTTTTCATACACATTCAAATCGAAAAATAATTTCTTTCATACCTGGTCAGATACCGGTGTATATTTAAGAATACTTCTGCTGTCGTTTACACTAAAACGTTCACTGCCAACGTCCAAAGTCTCGCCTGAATTATTGAATTTCCAACGAAAAGTCCTGAAAGAATTTTAATATAAAAAGAAATTAATTGCCAAAATTTGTATGGCAGATCCTAATAAAATTCTATGGCTGCTATTTAATGTCAAAAGAGTACCTTAGCTAATTAATTTATGACCTTAGCTAATAACAGTTAACTTTAATTTATAAATCACCAAAACCAATTAATTAACATGCACGTACATATCTGTACATACATATGTACATACGCATTTTCTGAGTTCAATGCACGCTGATATGATCGTACATACATACATACATACAGTACACACAAATTTTACTGTGGGCTCCTTGCATTACCCGATGCCTCAAAATGCTGCTGCGATATTTGAATCTTGTCGCAATTATCGCTTCATCCACTGTTTTGTCTTCTCCTTCCCCCCTCACTGAAAATGTTGACGAATTACCAAGTTATACGTCATTTTGGCACTACGCACCAAAAATGTCTGCACCCAATTATAGATGATGAATGTGCTGCACGACATCCTTTCTCATCCTTTTACCCGAGTGTGCAATAACACATCTCAAATACGAATCGAACGCTAGTATAGGAATGTTCCTTTGAAGACGCATTCATCTGGTTGGTTAGAAGTTTTATTTGTGTGCGGCAAAGCAATTGGACAGCGAAAATTAATTACTATTTATTTCCGACTATTACTTCCACACGCTTTCTGCATATCGTTCTGACAAGGATATTCAAACACTTGCACATACACGCACGCATATGTAAAGTTTAATTAGACAAAGTTAGGCTGCCATCACAACGAGCAGGAAGTAAAACTTTCTCACTCGACACCCACTCAGGTGCGAATGCTGTCTTTTCCGTTGCGACTGTGCAGTCTTCTGCCCCTTTAGTTCATTACCTCACCTCTCGTTGCTGTGACAGCTGCCGTAGTTGTCTACAATTTAGGATACAAAGCATTTGCGTTGGTGCACACAAACATTTTTGCTAATTTCTATGATTGTTGTGCCTATTTGGCTTCGCTTGCTTTTTCTACATACACACATACATATGTAGGTAGGTTCTCACATGTGCATTCTCTGTACTCGTCCATCTTGTTTTACTCAAAGCTGACATTGATGAACGGGTTACACTATGCTTGATTATGGCATTGTCACGATGGTTGCCACACTTACCTGGGTGGTGGATCAGCCTGTATTTCACACGTGACTTCGACTGTTTCATCCTTTGAGGCGCCAATTAGTATGACACGATCCAAATGCTTACAGACAGGCGTATCTGTGGACATAAGGAAATTAGAAGGAAAAGAGAAAAGTTAAAGTAGATTAATGAGGACGTGTGTGTGCTCTTGGCTTTTTTTCTTGGATTCAAAGATTCTTTGGAGAGGAAATGAAAGGGTGGTGAATTCGAAATTAACACGAACGAATTAAACAGAAAAATAACAGTTTTCAATCTCATTCCAGAATTGTTACACTCCAAACTAAAATTATGAATTTAACACTCTGCGACAGTCGAAACCAGCCTAGATTTTGTCAACATTTTCTGAAAGTATATCCATCCTGTAGTCAAACACTCGATGGATTTGTAAAAGTTAGTTCATATTTTTATTCTATGGCCTACTAAAGTTTTCATGTCACGGCCTAGGTAGTTTTCAAAAAAGTGGCATCAAGTTTTTGTCTGAGAGACCGCTAGTAAAATTTTCCGAAGAATAATTTTGTAGGATATATCAATCCTCTAACAACCTTGGCAACTTGCTTTTTGCGGGGTTTTTTGAAGTAAGGGTAAAAACGACCCTTTCAGGCGGGAGCTAATGACGAATATAAAAACTCTTCCTCTTAATTACAAGGTTCTAGAGCCTCATAATACCAAAAGCAAAAAAAAAATTAAAAATCAAAAGTTGTTTTGCGCAGGTATTAGGACAACCTCAAATTTGTGCAATATATTGTACAAAGTTCCGCAAAAGCCTACTAAAGTTTTCATGTCAAGGCCTAGGTAGTTTTCAAAAAAGTGGCATCAAGTTTTTGCCTGAGAGACCGCTAGTAAAATTTTCCAAAGAATAATTTTCTAGGATATATCAATGCTCTAACAACCTTGGCAATTTGCTTTTTGCGGGGTTTTTTGAAGTAAGGGTAAAAACGACCCTTTCAGGCGGGAGCTAATGACGAATATAAAAACTCTTCCTCTTAATTACAAGGTTCTAGAGCCTCATAATACCAAAAGCAAAAAAAAAAAAAAAAATCAAAAGTTGTTTTGCGCAGGTATTAGGACAACCTCAAATTTGTGCAATATATTGTACAAAGGTCCGCAAAGGAGTAAAAGCACTCAAGAATACTCAATAAGTATTTCTCTAAGTTTGACGGAATAAAACTTTTATTTCATTGAAAAGGAACTTATGTACATATGTACAAAATAAATGATTTTAATTCAGATATGTTGGAATGAATATTTTATATCTTTTTAAGTATCTTTAGCTAAGTTTCTCCACGAGAAAAGAATGATATAAAGAAATTAAGAAAATTTTCAGATACAATTACAATATAAAGTACAAACGACCCGTTTTAAATAAACCTCCCCTGTTTTTCTGTCTTCAGTAGATCAATAAATCAAAAATCTACCCTTTACTGCAATAACAGCACACAAACTTTGGAAAAACTACGGCAAGAACCACCCTAATTGCCTTTTCAACTGCAACTTTTACGGACGCTTGTACAATATATTGTAAAAGACACACGATAACTCGAGAAAAATTGAGATATCTCAACGAAATTTGGTATGTAGGTTGCCCTTTATCCAAGGTAGGTTGGTACTGAAATCGGTCTTTAACCACGCCCACTTTCCATATAACGGTATTTTCGAAAAATGCAAAAACTGCGATATTTCAGTAAATATTAGATGCAAATTGTTGAAAATTTGTATGTGGAGTAGAATTGTGGTAAAAAATAATATTGTTATGAAATTTTTGGAAAATGGGTGTGACTCCACCCACTTATGATGAAATGCTGTATCTCAGTAGCCGCTTAACCAATCTTTCCAAACTCGGTACGATCCTTGCCTAGGGACTAGGTAAGAAATCTGTTGCAAATCTTTGAAATCGGGCAATAACCACACCGACCTGCCATATAACGGTAATTTACAGAAACACGAAAAGTGCCATAAATCAGTAACTACTGGAGCTAAGTCACTTAAAATCGATGATTGCAATAACCACTTAGCAGAAAATTATAATATTATAAATTTTTGGATAATGGGCATGGCGCCTCCCACTTATGACAACAAATGTGTATCTCGGCAACCGATTTATCAATTTCTACCAAACTCGGTGCACTTAATAACCCTGGGTCGGAAAATAAATTCGTTAAAAATTATTCAAATCGTACTAAAATTACACCCGGTTCCTATATTACGGTAAATTTCAGAAATACGAAAACTGCGATATCTCAATAACTGAGGACACTAAATTACTCCAAGTTAATAGTTACAGCAACCTCCTAACAATAAATAAGACTGCTATAGACTTTTAGGAATTGGGCGTGGCACCGCCCACTTTATGACTACAAAGGTGTACCTCGGTAACTTCTTAATCGATTTGTACCTAACAGGTTCAATTTTATCATTAAGTCTAACTCTGCATAGTATCGAAAACGATTGAAATCCCCCTACTTATCATTCAAAGGTAGTTCAGATAAAGATGAAACGACGATATTTGATACCTGCGCCGGGTATATAAAGTTCGGTTTCGCCCGAACCTCTACTTTTTACTTGTTTGTACAGTAAATTACCACCACTTGCATGTCACTGGAATTTTATAAAATGGCCTACTTTTAAATTCAATTCTAAAAATGTTTTTGAAACGTTTTCGATTTTGAAATTTACGTAAACTATTCGGGACAGTCCAAAACTTCATAAAGTTTAATTTGTTTTCAAAAATGTTAATACGATTTTTAGTAGCACGCTTCCAATGTTACAAATAATTAGATGTACAGTATATTGTACAAATACACGGAAAGGGATATATATCTTAGCCTTTAATTTCGCTTAGACATTTATTTTCACAATGTGTTCCACTTTTTTTAAAACTACGTATGCCGGTACATGAAAGCTTTAATAGGCCATCCAATAAAAATACGAACTAGGTTTTGCAAATCCATGCTTCCATCAAGTTGGTAGAAGTCACTGGAAAAACATAGGCTTATTTTAACCATGGAATGAAATGGGCAGAAATATTTAGAAGAACACAGGATCGTACGACGTCTTCCGCAGCTGACCAGCAAAGAAGCGAAAGATAAGCATCGGATTTGGAGCTAGAGAGGATTGGGACCACCTGAGAGGTAACACCTTTCCTTTAAAAAAATAATTATAGAAATCGGTTAATGTGGTCCAAACATACATAAAAAATAAAATTAAAATAAAATCTAAAAAAATATTCCTACGAATTGATAACCTTCTCCTTTCTTTGAAGCAGAGCTGGGCACTTTATAATTACGATTGAATTTTGATTACTTAGGATTACGATTATTGTAATTGTAATCCTTAAATTTTTCAGAATAACGATTACTGTAATTGTAATTATAACATGCTTGATTGCGAATAATTTAATTGTAATCCTTAAAATTTGACAATTACGACTACTGTAGTCGTAATCGTACTTTTTATACCCGAGCGCACTTGTGCACAAGGGTATATTAATTTTGTTCACATAACGGTTGTTTGTAACAGCCAAAACGAATCGAGATAGATATAGACAAATGTATACATAAATGATCAGGATGAAAANTACCAAACTCGGTGTGGTTATTGTGCTTGCCACATATAAGCAAAACGTTGAAAATTATTGAAATCGGACTAAAATAACGGCCGCTTCTCATATAACGGTAAATTTCAGAAATGCTTGAAACTTCAATATTTCGAAATTGAAGGACGCTAATTTACTCAAAATTGATACACCCCGGCTTACCATCTAGCGGAAGGTTTCGGAAAGGTGAAAAAACATATTTAATACTTGCGCCGGGTATTTAATGTTCGGCTCCGCCCGAACTTAGACTTTCTTACTTGTTATGATTACGATTATAGCAATCGTAATCCTAAAAATTTCAGGATTACAATTACCGTAATTGTAATCATGAAAATGAGGATTACGATTACAGTAGTCGTAATCGTTAAATTTTTAGGATTACAATTAAAGTAATCGCAATCATGCAATTCATGATTACTATTACAGTAATAAAGAAATTAGTTTTGCTTAGAGCAAATATTGATTTGTATAGACTAAAATGGATTTAAATTATGCATTCGCATATTTGTTTGAAATTGGTGTAATATTCTACACAGACTCGTGGTCACAGTATTTCCAACAAAGTTTGATTTTGATTCGCTGTCCACCTGGATGTTGTCACACAAAGGGGAGGGACCTACAGTTTTACGCCGACCCGAAAGGCGATTGCATTTTTAGGAGAAGCTGTTTTTGATGACAGAAATACATTTGGAGGTTTGCCATTGCCTGTCGAGAAACGACCGCTATTTGAAAAAAAGTTCTTTGTTTTTTTTTTGTTTTTTTTTTTTTTGATGTTGGGTTGAACAGGGCTTGAATACAGGCGCACACTGCTAACCACTGCGGCCGCTGTGTAACTGTATTATTTCAACTTTAAATCAATTTTACATACTTTTCGGTGAAAGTTCGGCTCATTTACAAAACTAAAAAAACCTCTATAGAATATCAGAAAATCGCAATCAGCTTTTTCTTGATTACGATTACGTTAATTGTAATCATAATATTTTTACGATTACAATTAAAGTATTCGTAATCATAATTTTAATGATTACAATTACTGTACTTTTAATCTTAAAATTTTTAGGATTACAATTACTGTATTTATAATCATCTTTTCCATGATTTCGATTACAGTAATCATAGTCCCTTAATTTTTAAGATTACAATTATTATAATCACAATGGTAACATTTAGGATTACAATTAAAGTAATCGTAATCGTATATAATTTAAGGATTACAATTACGCAATCGTAATTGAAATGTAATCGTAAACAAAAATTACGCAGATCTGGGGGAAAATACCACTGCCACTTTTCAAAACGCTTCATTTCATGAATTCGCAAATTATGCATAAAGGGAACCATTTTTGATTTCATGAAATGAAGAATTCATGAATTTTGATGTAGTTTGGAACGAATTTCCGTCATCCCTTGTCAAATTTAGTTTGGAGACAAACCGGTTTCGGCGGTGTACTATCTTCAGTGTCATTTTTCGTTCTCATGAATTCTGCCGCATAAACGTAGCAGCGTTGCCGTTTTGCTTAAATTTAAGCAAAATTGCTTAAGTTTTTCCTGCGTGTTAAAATGTTAAACTTTTCTTCGTTTTGCTAAATATTTTTATCTAAATAGTCAAAAAGGATAATTTTCCTCAAAAATTCATAATCAGAAGAGTTACCATTTCAATACATTTTTTACATTTATTTTAGGGAGACTGTCATCCAGATCCCACATAGAGTTCCAGCAATTGTTGCTCTACGCAATTCCTGATCTGCGGTCGTCGCATTTTCAAACCTCCTAGTGTACTTCTGGCATGAAATCGCTTCTGATAAAACCCATTTGCCGTTCGGAGGCGACCTTTAGGTCCCTTCATTTGCATTACAAGATCAACACACACATTATGGATAACATGATGCCAAAGTCGTTTTTTGCATGCATTCAAAAAACTAGCGAAGGGACAGATAACTATTATAGGAATATGTATAGAAAGCCTGACAGAATGTGTAATAGTTTTCAAATTTAGCAACTGTTAGGCCCGACTTGAGATGGCCTACTTAAGTAAAGATTGTTGATTGATTTCCACTATTCATTTTCAGATCATACATTTAGTCTGCACTTAAATGGCTAATTTTGCTATTTAAATATGAGATACATATGCAGCCCTGTGTTTATACCAAACAACCAAGATTGATTGGTAGGTTGTTTAATCAATCCCACCAAATCCCTCCTAAATGAATCAGGTGTTCAGCAAAAAATGTAAACAAACAAGCCAATGCAACAACAATTTCAAGGAATAAGCAGCAGTGCTGCCAATTGTTTGGCATATTTAAACAAAGTTGATCTGAATCCCAACGAAATCTAAATGGCATTTAGACAACAATCTATAATCAAACTTAAGTTCCGTTTAAATATCCATTCGAAATTGGCCCTTAGACTATACAATCATTACTTTTGACGACAAAACTCAGCCTTAGAGAGCCCTTACTTACTGACTTGCTTACTTTTTATTTCTATTACCAAGCTCAGGATGAAACAAACAGTAACGCCAAGCATTTTCGTTTTAATAAGACCTGTTAAATAAGTTGCTTAATTTTAATGGGATTTGTTCAACTTTTTGAAAGACTTTGTTAAACTTTATTTTCGGGCGCGGCAGCACTGAAACGTAGTAATAGCTTCCCGTAACGTATACGCCCAGTAGCACCATACACAGTCATCTAACACGTTTACACGCACGCCTTAAATTAAAAGCCATAGTATTTAAAAGTCATTAAATATTGACATTTAAGATTTTTACACAGTATTCTTTAATAATAATAATAATAATAGATTTGCGCTTACACATATGTTAGTGTTTGGCCGAGCTTCTCCTCCGACTTGTAGCGTGCGCCTTGATGTTGTCACACAAAGCGGAGGGGCCTACAGTTTTACGCCGACTCCGAACGGCGATTGTATTTTTATGAGAAGCTGTTTTTCATGGCAGAAATACACTCGGAGGTTTGCCATTGCCTGCCGAGGGACGACCGCTGTTAAGAAAAAACCTTTTTTCTATCCTTTTTGCGATGTTGCTTTGACCAGGGCTTGAACCCAGGCGTAGCGGAGTGGAAGCGCGCACTGCTTGCCACAACACCACAGCGGCCGACGTAGTATTCTTTATGCACATATTTATATACTACTTTCTTCATGTATGTATATAACATTTTTATAATGAATTTCTAGTGCGCCAATAAAAATTATAAAAATGGAATTTTAGTTTTGCAAATCATAGTCATCTTTTATTTATTGTAATTTTTTCCTTTCGTGGCACACTAGTTTTATTACATTAGATTTGTTTCGTTTTTCGTACAAAATGCTGCAATTTTTTTTAAATTTCGTGTGAACCTTTGAAATTGAAAATTACTCAAAGATATTTAAAAACACAATCAGGATTTTTTCGAGTGACAATGGAATTTTAGTTTCGCAAATCATAGTCATCTTTTACTCATTGAAATTTTTTCATTTCTTGGTTAGCTCAGTGGTTAGCGTTGCCAAATTCGCGCATTGATGATGTGGGTTCAATTATTGTTGAAGTCTAAAGAAAGAAGTCAGATTACGAGATATGGCAATATCCGAAGTCGCAACAATAACTGTTTTGTTGCTTTTCCATTTTTTCAAACAAACAAGTCGTGCGAAAAAGCCCAATAACATTGTTAAAAGTAAAAAGTTCACACTTTAAACAATGTTTATGTGAGGTGTTGCTAACACATAACGGATTAAAGTTATTGCATTTTGATATGTTGGTTGAAGTTAAGTTTCCACATGTTTATGGAAGTACAGCCGAGGACAGAACTGTCCTTACTTCTTTTATTTTAAGTTCGAATTTCGTTTTCGCATTTGCATGAATCTCTTTAAAAAGCTTTGTTACACTGATGTTTACGTAATGAAAAAAGAAGAAATTTTGCAATTCTCTATTAATGAACCGAATCGTGCCGGCACAGTCACGTACATACATTTACATAAATACACGCGTACGAATATGCTTAAAAGCTTTCACTCTTTAACCTGCTCACAATAAGACGTAGCACCTCTAACCAATATGTAAATAACTGATTTTACTGAACAATACTAACAAAAACAACAATACACAGCACGAAAGGCATTTGTGAAAGAGAAGAACCTATGGAAATCTGCTGCTGATTCTGTTTACGATGTTTCCAATCTAAGTAACAAAGTTTCGGACAGATACTGATTAAGAATACCTGATGCACAGCAGGCGACCAACAGCTAACAGTAATAGAATTTTTGTGGCAAGGCGATGAGGAGAGTGAGGACGAACTGAATGCATACATATGTATAAAAGTTATAACTAAGCAGTTGAATGGAAGCGAAGTTGAGTGAAAAATGTTTTAGGATGTGGCAGGAGAAATGTGGAGGGAGAAAAGTTAAATCTTTGTAAACACTTGTTTTCGATGGGAAAATGGAGAATTATGATAGATGGCCTTCGGCATTTTGCATTCTACTTACATTTTACACGCAGCGGTAGCTGGTTGCTGACAGTTTCACCCTCGTCGTTGATGGCGCTGCAAGCATAATTTCCTGCATAGTGTTTAGTAATTTTTTGTAGCACCAAACTCTGATTGGAGCGAATGACGCGCGCCGAGGTGTTGTGTTCGAGGTGAATGTTCTTGAAAAATTCAGAAAAAAATTGTTAAGTTTAGTTTTTTTTTGTTAGTACGGAACTCACGATAAAGCAGATTACGTATATTTATACATACATAAGTACTTATGTACTTAGGTAGAATGGTATTTACATGTGCATACATATACGGCGATTCCATATTAACTATATGATGCTATTCCGCGTGATGGCCTTTGATTTAGCTCAAATATTTCACACGGCCTGATTTCATACTTCAACTAACAGAAATGGACTTAATTTTTTTTTTTTAACTATGTGCGTTAAAAATATCAACAAAACATGCTATATATATACACCAGGTTTATTACACCCCTATGCTGTAATCCGAATGTTTGTAGTTACGAATTCGTAGCTCCGTTCCGAAAATTCGAAAATTGGTATGCTGTTATCCGACCGTAACTATCAGCGGCACTGCCTGCTAAAAACGTGAAATTCGAAATTTTTAATCAGCTGCTTTGGCAGAAACAAATCAAAATAAATATAATCGCAAGTTAATAGTGAAATTAAAAAAATTAGATCAATCATTATTTGAAAAGACTTATCCTTAATTAAGTAAAATACAGAGGAGTCAGTGCACTTTTGCCCCAGGAGGAAGAACAGCTAACAGTTGCATTAATATACAAAGGAGATGGCTAGAAGATTGTTCTGATCCATTTAACTTAAACGATAAAATATAAGCTTGCTTCCTTTTAAGGGCCTACATTTCACTAGATATTGTGCCGCTTTAATTCTTGCGCTTAAACTCTTCCCAAAATTCCACAACATCCCCTTTAGCTCCTTTTACAAAGCTTCGACCAATGTCCGGCCTTTCGCTCATGCATTCCACCAATTTTTCGTATTGCGAGCGATTTGTTGTGATCTTCGACCTGATAATTTTGTAAACATTTAATAAATTGTTTTTCTATTCACACTTCAACTTACATACATATTTATGCGTTAACACACTTTATTTTATTGATATTTTAAAACAATTTGCTTCGCTCCGACATGAACGACAGCTACGTCGGATTCAGGCATACCAACATTACGAATTTCGAAGATGACCCACGAATTTCGAAATTACGATACGAAAACTCGGATTTCAGCATACCAATTTTACGATTCGTAGCAAAATCGTATCTACGACGGATTACAGCATAAGGGTGGTAGTTAACGAAACTCTTTATAAATTCGCTATTTCTTGTGTGAATTACAAAAGTTGAGTATCATTGGAAAAACAATTAATCAAACTTTCTATCTGTGATTTTTAATTTTTTAAATTACGATCCATATTTATATATATTCCCACTTAATTTGAACAAATTATATTCAGCAAAAATACTCAAAAAATATCCTAACCAATAACATTTTTTCCGAGATCTAATCTCCAAATTTCGAACTTATACATTTTTGAAGTTTCTCCAGAAAGTGAAAGCAGAAAATTGTTTCTCGGTCGAGCTCAAATGCAAGATAATTACTTCACAAAAGGCACATCCACGAAAACCGCTTTACAATCTTTTTTTGGGTTGGTTGAATAGAGCTTATATGATAAGGAATATGCTTTTGTAGACATAGAACGCGCCTTCAGCAACATCAGTGCAAGCGCCATTATCGGTGCCTCAGAAGATTTTGGTGTTGACCCTAACGTGGCCGCTCTGTTCGAAACTTTACTCGTCATACCGAAGATAACGGCTAGGTTAGGCAACACTACATTAAGGTATCCATAGGCAACCCTCAGGAAGGCGTTCTCTTCCCCCTTCTCTGGGCTCCTTGCTACTGACTCTATAGGAAAATGCCTACATACACATTATAGGCATTCTGCGCGCTAATACGTCAATGATTAGAAACTGGACAGAGAGTAAGGGACTCGGAATAAACCCCGATAAAACTGAAGTAATTGTCTTCACAAAGAAACATAGGCTCAAATGGGAAAATGTATCCCCGCTAGTTTTCAAAGTTGTGGAGATTACTTTGAAGGATAATTTTAAATATATAGGACTCATATTAGATAGGAAGCTTACGTGGAAACCTAATACAAAGGAAAAAGTTAAGAAGGCCAACGTTGCATTATACACATGCAAATAAGCTGGGGATTAACGTCCCGTATTATATATTGCCTTTGCGATTCTTCAGTATCAACTCCAAAGACAAGTTTCCTAAACTTTCTAAGTAAGGTCCAAAGAGCAGCGTTTTTGTGAATGTCGGGTACTTTAAAGACCATCCCAAACAAAGTGCTAGCAGTACTAACCAATTTTCCTGCAGTAACTTTGTTAGGAAACCACGTGGAAGCATCGGCGGTTCGGTCACGCTTCTTTACTTCACACTATGGGTAGCTCTTTAAGACAAACAAGACCATGGAGAAAGGAGGGAACTCAATTTTTACATGGATGGATCTAAGCTAGCCAACAGAGTTGGCTACGGAGTTTTTTCTAAATAAATATGACTGGAATTATCCGTCCGTATTCCGGACCACTGCAGAGTTCAGAGTGTAGAGAGAAGTCAGGCAGAAGTATCAAATTCATGGCGTGACGAAGGCTGTGGTTAATATCTTCTCGGATAGCCCGGCTGCCATCAAATCAATGAACGCGGTAATGCTAAGATCAAAGATTGCACAGGGATTCCTGGCAGCTCTAACTGATATACTGAGGCCAATAGTTCATGGTTAGTCGAGGACAACTGTACAACAACTAGGCTAATATGGCCGCATAGAGACGACATTTCGAACTTCATGCCTCGTGTAACCGGTCACCTACCTGCTAAATAAAAAAGGTAGGATGCTTATCAGAAGAATATTTTAACTAATATAAGAAAGGACCTAGGCCTCAATTTGACATAAAATATTTTTAATTAATTGAAAACTATTGGCAATTTGTGCATCGCTCCTACTACCACTGACGCACAAATGCAAAAATGTAGAAAAATAAGAGGAGTGGTCATGATTTGTTTAAACTTTACTCCTACAAAGATTTTTTAACGGTGATTTTAAAATTGGAATCGGGTTTTGTGCACGCGGTATATACCAATTTTCAAAAATCCGAATTATTAAAAGAGAAAGAAATAGTGAAGTGAGATATAAGCAATTTTTTTGACCCAACTTGGCTTTTTATCGATATTTACCTCGCCCTTAATTAAAAAAAAAAAAAAAAAAATTTAATTTGTAGATCCATTTCTCTCAGTTTTAATATGAAATTAGTATATTAGCAAAATTTGAACCAAATCAAAGGTAATGGCGCAGAGTCTTGCTACTTGTTTAATTTGGAAGCCGTTTATACATATTTATGTGTTTGTATAATAAATATAGATAATAACAACTGTTACTCTCAGTCTTGCCAGCAGAGTATGTGGAGAATTTTCATTTATTCAAAGTGCTTTCGGTCGGTGGTAAAATATTTACGGAAATTCTCAATGGTTTGAGGGTATTCCCAATTGCAGCAAACTAAAAGATAGATGAACATGCACGCATACGTACTTACACACATACATATATTTACATATATATACAACCACATTTTGCTACCTTAATATAGAAAGGCCCTATCACACAACGTCGCTGAAATATAAAAAGTCGTAACTAACTAAAATTCCAATATTCACTTTTTGACTGCTTATAATGCATTTCAACGAATTATAAGTCCCCACATCGTTTTACGCAATAACAAATTTTGGTTAGTTACGGTCTTTTTTGCGATTTAGCGATAATTTGAGATAGTGCCTTTACACATTAAGGTAACGATCAACATACATATGTATCTACAAATGTGCACGAAATCTACACACTTGGTAAGTCGGAGACAGCCCCAAAGCGCAGTCTATGAGCGCAGTGCTATCCACGTCACTACCCAAGCTTTGTGTTATTTTAGCTGTGCGTATTTAAACATGTACAGATATATGCATATGTAAGTAGGAGCTTCCGTCATTCTTGTCCCCAACAACTTAAATCTGCTTTTGCCTGAGATCTATACTCAGACGATTTAATAAACTGTCTCCTAGCTATTATCCCATTTCCGGTATCACGCATAAAAGCGTGGAAATACCTAAATAGTTACATACTTATACATATATACATATATATATATATATCTGCGACGGTTTAATTTGTCTGCATGAATGTATGCACATGTACACAGTGGTGGATACAGGGGAGGGGCGATGGGGGCGATCCCTCCCACCCAGAGCTGGAAAAAAATTTCGGTTAAATATATTAAACAAATTAAAACAAATTTTTTTTATAATCTTCAATCATAATCCTTTTTTAGGCTTGCACAAGATTATTTATAGAATAAGAAAGCATGTAAATCTCTTAAATTAAAAAATACAACAATGGGTATGCAAATACTATGAATTTATAGACCTTGTCATAACTTTACGGCATTTACATTTTGACAAGATTTGACCATTTGTATTAATATTTTTTAATTTTCATTATTTATTTAAAAAAATATAGTACAATCTTTAACAAAAACCTTATAAATCCAAGCTTGAATCTCTGTGCAACGTTCTAAAAAATTAACAAACTTTCGTAAAAACTTCGAACTTTTATTTAAGGAACTTTTTAATTCGATTTTTAAGAAATATTTTGAGGCAGCAGTTGTTTAGCCCATTCAATTTTACTGCAAGTTTAAAGTAACTGTTTTTTGGCCTTTTTTTTTGTTTGTTGACCATGTTAGCCATTTTATTTCATACAAAACATTTGCGACGATTTTTTTGTTATATGGAGAAAATGAGCAACATCTTCGACGAAAAAAATTCCCAAAAATCAATGGTACTTGAAATCGAGCTACAGAACTGCATACTCAACGTGTTTCTAAAAAACTAAATTAAATTATTAATTAAAAAGCTAGAAATTTTTACAAAGTTTGTTGATTTCTTTTTTAATTTTGCACAAAGATTGAAACTTGGACTTATATGGTTTCTGTTAAAAATATGCTATACCTTTAAAAAAACAATAATTAAAATTAAAAATTTTAAAATAAATAGTGAAATATTGCCAATATGTGAGTGTCGTAAAGTTATGATAAGAACTATATGTATGCATGTCGAATCAAACTTTTCGATACTACTTATTGTCTATTTCCGCAGCGAATGTAGAAAATTTCAGACTCAACTGGGTAACCAGACATTCGTAGGGGGATAATAGCAAAATGCGTAGAAAAAGCGCTTGCCGCTAAGAAATTATACTATTTGGACATTGTCCTTCCTCGGAGAGCGGATAGATGAAATTTTCGGGCTAATTATCGTGCATCTAGCGCCGAAGATTATTGTCCAAAGGTAATATTTATACCGCTATTGAATAATATTTAGATCGATCTCCGATAAGGATTGCCGAAATATAAATTACATAAGCATTTTTGAGTTGAACTATTACATTCATACATATTAAATTAGGGAATGTAATACGCTACAAAAAGACGCTATCAGTTTGGAAGAGGAGTAGAAAGTGTGGTCAGAACGATGAACAAATGAGGTAAACGAAAAGCCATTCCTAAAATCACCAGTAGCAGTTCTTGGTAAATGGGACAACGAATATGCTTTTCCGTTGATTAACAAACTTCTCCGCATTCTGACTACACTTCTAGCTAGTGAGGCTACTTCAGAAGGAAGTTACCCTTCACCGGTTAAAAACATGGTTCCATAGTACCATCAATGAAAAAAGACTGATAGGTCTGGCACTTTTACACGTACACTTAGGGCCAGTTTTTCAGCGCACGGTCGTGGTTTAAACTTTATTTAAATGCCCGAGCTGGCTGTTTAAACTAAGATTAGCAGATCAAATGTCGGCCAGCTCTTCATTTTAAATTCTGTTTACGTAATATAAGTTTAAACTGCCTCTGAAACTGGCCCTTAGAAATTGATATTGACACTGAACGGATAATACAAAGATTTCCAAAATGAAACCGCAAAATTATGTTTGCAATTTATAATCAAAATTCCGAACAAGTTGTTAAGTTACTTAATTACATCCCTCATAAGCAAAAAATAAGTATTTATGTAATATACACAAATATATACGGCTTTAATAAACCCAGAGCATAACTTTTTATCTTGTGCTTTTTTACAAAATAGTTTTATTGTTTTATTACATGGGACTCTATAAATGGATCTTGCGCCACAACATGAAACTTACTTAAAGTAAAATTATATCAAAAAACATTTTAATTCGGACTTCATAAAAATTACTAGAACCTCTATAAGTGTGAAAAATAAAGGAGGGTTCAAGCCGGTTGGATGCTTGTAGGTCATATAGCTTCGATCAGTCACTCCGCTGTGAATCAAGTTAGATGCCTGTAATTTAACATTATTCGACAAGTCGATTCCAATCGCCCCTCCCCAAACAAAATCCTGTATCCGCCATTGCATGTACATAGGTGTGCATTGGGGTTATGTGCATTCTCCACACTCATACTTATAACAAATTACTTACATTATGTAACCACAAGAGCTTCCGCCATTGAGGATTCGATTGTACGTGACACTCAAAATATACATCATCTCCTTCCTTTATATCGTCGGGTGTGAGTGTAGACCCCAGTCGCAGCGTTACCAAAGGCGGATCTGTATACGGTTAAGTCATTAACCGAGGAAAAAGAAGAAAATGGTGGAATATAATTTATATATGCATGTATGGATAAAGTGCTATGAAATAGATTTTAAAATTAATGAAATTAATTACAAAGATATTTTCAGTCGATTTAACTCTATCTTACGAAGATCGACTCATTCGAACTAGTTCGATACGAAGGCAGTTTGATAATTCAGTGAGTTTTTGAGTTGCAACTATGGATACTACTGCCATTTTTGAATGTGCTCGAGGACCACAGTGATCTGAGCAGTGGCAATTTGTTGCCAGCAAAGAGCCAGCCCTACGCATTCTGCATAATATTAGTGGAAACTAAACATCAAATTAAGTACCAAATTTACCTAAAAGCAGTGATTAAAAAACTGTAGCCTACCCAAATTCATATTTGCATATACATACATATGTACATAACCATTTCTCACATTAGAATGTGTATGTGGTGTGAGAAATTCAGTTTGTAAGGGAGGTGACACGCCCCTTGATATATCGAAATTGCTTTTCTTCTATTATCATCCTTGGATATTTGGAGTCGATGCCGAAAATTTCAAAAATATCGATACAGCTGTTCACGAGTTTTTCGAACAAAAAAAAAAAACGGTTTTCAAAATCTATATTAGTAAAGAAAACAAATGAAATACGCTTTTTAATTAAACGTATCCTATGAAAAGATGTTTATGAACAATATTTTAAATAATTCCAGATATTTGAAATTAATTTCAAGTATTTTCCAAAAAAGTAGAAGCACTCAAACGTAAAATTTTTTCTTTCATTTTTCAACATAAATAAATAAAAACCCAGTGTTTTTTTAATCACCATGGATAGATCGACGCGAAATCTAATTATATTTTATTTAATAAAAAGAAACTTGAAATCGGTTAGTATTTGGGCGCTCAAAATTGACTTGTCCACAGCAACCTTTTTTGCCTCATTGTGCGAGGCGAGCTAAATGATATGAGACATTATTTTTCATATCGGACACCAAATTGGGTGTCAGACTTTCGATTGGCTTCAATTTTTTCTATGGGTTCTATACACGAAATAAGTTAACACGTGTTCGATGAATTCTTTTTTCTTTGGAGATATGATCTGTCAAAATTTGAATTTTGTCGTGATTCTAACTAGCACTGGTTTTGCTATTTGTTCTCGAACCCACTTCCGAAGGAAACTTTCCTCTTTTATTTCCATTTTATTGCATATGTGAAACCTAACTATGAATGTATGCTATTTTGATCATTTGTTATCACACGTCACATACGAGCGTTTAAACCCATTTCACCCACTGCTTTTTTCAGAGCAACGCAACCGTCACTATATACATACATATGTAACTCTATTAACACTTTACTTACATACGACATTCAACTTCCACATTGTCTCCAAGTAGAGTCCATTAACATTGGGATTCTCAGCGCGACAAGTTATAGATTTGCCATCATCATCTGTGGTGGGCACAAAACTCAATTCCGAGCGTGTAACATTCTTTGAGATATCATCCTGAAAAAGAAGTAAAATAAATTTTAAATGCATGTCGAAAGCATCGATGAAAAATTGACTTGTTTTGCTGCATTTACTTTTTGCCAACAACTGGGTTAGACATGTTATTTAACGCCATTTGATTTATATGTTTCAACACTTAGGCAGCAAATTTATGTTCAACAATGGTGAAAGTAAGTAAAACGCCCACTGGATTTGCATGAGCCGTCAGAAGCATATTTATTGCACACAACAAAGATCTTTACATGGTATATATGTACATATCTACATGCCGCCGCATTTGCCGCTGGACATTTGTACGCAGACTGCTTGTAACATAAGTATCTATGCATGTATCAACATATCTAGATATCCGTTTGTACGTTTCACCACTTTACCAGCTTCTGCACAATACATTTTGTAGTGAAATTTTCATTTCCGCTTTTAAATTGCTTATTGCAAATTACATAGCAAGTGCGCTAATAATATCACACAAGTAACAAGCAATACATTTACGCGAACCCACTCATTTTATTTCCGCCACCACACACGGTAGCGAGTAAACATAAATACGAGTACATATTAGGACACACACAGCCACTCATATGGAGGGGCATGGGGTGTATGAGTGTAGAACGCTGCTGGCGTACAAAGGCGGGAGTTCACTGAAAACATGGCCGCATAAACAACGCAAAATACACATTGCATGCCATTAATGGCACAATGAAAGCAAAACTGTTAAATAAGGTAAAGAAGACCGCGCCGCAATGTTCAAATTGTTGGCACACACACACGCATATGCACATACTTTATGTATGTATGTACATATCGAGGCCATGCATGGCGTAGCAGCAATCGAGCACATGTGCTCAAAACTAATTTAAAATCAACCTTTGTCTGAGCTATACATATCAAAGAAAAATTCCAAACAATACAGTAGACTCACAGAAAGATTAGTTCGAAAAAATTAATTTTTTAAATTTAAAAAAATTAATTTACTTATACGGTGGGGGAGTAAAATTCAATCAATTTACTCAGCGCTATCACGCGGATATTCAATCTTTGTATTTTTGGATTTGTATTAGTGTTTGTTTTTAACTATATTTTTATCTCTATCTTTATCTTCATTTCTGTCTTTATCGCTATCGTTATCTTTATCTTTATATTCACAATGCCCATGTCTCGTTTTCTGCTTCTGTTTCTCTATATCTTCCTCTTTTTATTCCCTCCAACCAGTGGCCTTAAATGCTCAAGGCAATCGTTTCCTTTCTCCGAAGCTGCCTAAGAAATTCCACTTCAAAAACGAACCTCAATGATTCCACTAAATAACAAAACTCATCGCGTCTTTGCGCTTTTACGAGAGTTAAAGCCGAAACTTCCAACAAACTTATTAAGATTAAACACAGGATAGCTGATCGTTTTCAGTTGAGAATACACTTGACGTTATACGTGTTTTCCTTCGTAGATAATGCCACGAGATTTGAAACACCGCAAGCCTATCAGCTAATGCCATTTCCCGAGAGTTCCTCAAAGCTTATTATAAAGCGCGAAGCTAGCTGGCCAGCCAAGTAGAAAGTGTTCAGGTTATTCCACATCATCATCATCCAGGAAACTGCGGTAGTATGGATCAGATAGGGTTTTTCGTCCAACTGTGTGAATTCCGATCGAACAATGACTTCTTTCTTAAGATTAAGACCATAACGGAAATCTAAAATACTATGATTTTAGGGTGAGCAACCGGAATACCCAGGCCCGTCTGGTTAGTGTCCTCGGCAAGAACAAGACTGGTAACACCACTATGCAAGAAATACAATGGATGGGAAAGGTAAGGAAAGGACAGAATCTGGTCTAAACAAAATTTCCAAGCGCGGTTCACAGAAGCATCGAAGATGGAGAGCAGAGCAGGACCGGATGTCTGGCAACAAATTTTCTATTGTAATGGGTACTTGGTCCACGGTCTTTCAGGCCGAGGTACTCAATTTGGGCCAGACTGAACCTTGTTATGTTTTCAAGTAGTTATGTTTTCTGATAGCCAAGTGGCCATAAGGGCCCGTTCCAATAAGACGATCACCTCCAGGCTAGTGAAGGAGTGCTTTGACCCTATTCAACTCTTGTCAGTAAGCAACTCGGTATTACTATGCTGTGTGTCAAAACAGTGCGGGATCGCGGACAACGAGGTCGACAACGAATTGGCAAGGGACGCTCATCGTCTGCACTTATGGGGCTGGAACCGTTTTGTGGACACACTTGGTCCTCGCCGAGCCTTAAAATATAATCATGGGTAAACTAAGACGTAGTAAGTACATACAGTGGTCAAAAAATTATAGCCAAACCACGTTTTGCCAAGTCTTAACGTATTATATTTGTTGCTATTGAACTTTTGTTATATTTTTAAATAAAAATATAGTTCGTTCTTTAATAAAACCCGTGGAAATCCATGTTTCCAAATTTGAGCAGTCCACTTGCAAAGGCGGTATGTAAATTTTTTTAGGTTTTTTGTTTTTGGTGAGTAACGTACCAGTATTTAAAGTAGTTTCATGTCCACTAATAATACATTGCAAAATCTTTCTATTTTCTGAAAAAATAGCATCAAATGTTAACTACTATTGCAAAAGTCGCTATAATACTTATTTATACACTTTCAAAAGTCGCCATCTTCTGATGAACTTAGAAAACTGCAAGAAAACGTGGTAGTTTCGGTGCCTAGTGGAAGGCGTCGTAAAAAAGAAGCAGACCAATCTTCATGGAAGTATGAGCGCGAAAAGCAAAAAAAAAAAGATAGCTATGTAAAAGTTACTGTTTCAAAACTCGCTATATTCAACTTTTATATATAAAATTTGCAAAACCTACCACATTGCCATATTGTTTTTTAATGTTATTAGGCTCTTGTTTATCCAAATTTTCAGATAATAAAGAGAAGTATACAATTTGGATGTTACTTGTTGTTTGTAGACGTTTTTTTATTTATGGATCACTATTATAAAATCATATAACGCTGTATGCAAGTGGACTACTCATTTGTGCAATATTAAAAAAAAAATCAACAAACTTTCGTACAAATTTCGAAATTTTAAAAATTCTAAAAAATCAATCAACATTTTCAGCCATTTGAAACGTGTACTTTATTCCACTAGAATTCAATGGGCCACAAAACTGCATACTCAGAATTTAATTAAAAAACTCGAAATCTTAACGAAAATTTGTAGATTTTTTTTTAATTGCATAAATTTTTAAGGCAGTGTCACTCGATTGGTACATTTGTTTAGATTTGTAAATTTTTATATTGGGCTATTGGTAAAAAAAAGTGGGAAATTTTTTTTTGCATTCAAAAGATTGGTACAATACAGCGATGTTCTATTGAAAAATTTCAATAAATTAATTTTCGTGATTGGGATAGTGAAAAAGATTTTGGGTGTTCAAACAATCGTGTGACACTGCCTTTAAACTTATATTTATACGGATGTTGGTAAAGAACAAACTATAAAAAACTAACCGACATTAAATATCAACAAAAATAATATTTTAAAACTAGTCAAAATTTGGTGCGGATATAATTTTTTCGACTACTGTACATAAGTTGGCTATGATTACTCGGCCGTGCTATCAAGTAGCACAATGCCACTCATATTTGACTTACAAACAAACTACGGGCAGGAATTTCAAGATTTCAACCCTGTTTTTATGAAAAATTTTATTTTTATCAGTATTTTTCTTTTAATCAAAATATGTTGAAATAAAAGTGAAACTAACAAAAATGTTGCCAGAACTTTTAACTAGTTCATTGAGTTTAACTAGTTCTTTAGTTCATTTAGCTAAAGAACTACGTAAGCTTAGTAGTAAGTACAAGAGAGAGGTAGGGCCCTTAGACAGGCCAGACTTTTTGGTTATTCTTTCGGTGCAAAAGATATATATATTTATTTTGAACAGAGCCGATATCAAGTTGCTTATTGGCTATTGGTTGCTGTGATTGACCGGCATTGGCCAAACTAAGAATGCAGTGCCTCAATTCTTCCACAGTCGATGCCCTTAAGGTTATAAATTAGTCAACCAAGAAACTTTTAGCTTTCATAACGGAGGCTAATAACATCTTGGGCCGTCAGTGTTAGAAAATATCATAGGGATACAAAAAATATTCTAGATCGCGATGTTCCTTTCTGTTACATCAAAAACATTTACCTTATATATATGTATTTATGTAGAAACGTTAGGTCGTTTTTAATAGCGGGAAAAATGGGAAAATGTATATTTTTCGAAGAATTTTTCTTGTTACTGCGAGATTTACAAATAAGAATGCACTTTCCACAGAACGCTGATAAATTCTCTTGGAATGATATTTGCCTACTGCAATTTTTCCTCTGCAAACATCGCGTTACCGTTCTATACAAAGTGTTATCACAAAGGACTGACGTCTATGATCCAAGTATGCCCCTGCTTGAAGCAACCAGCTTAACCTAACCTCACCTAGAGCTTCATCGGTAAGGTGTGCTTGCATACGAATTAAGTAGAAACTTTTTATTTATAGATAGTTGTGTCCTAATCCGTTATACACATGTTATCCCTCCCAGCTCTTAGCTACGTCGATAATCCTAACAGCGACAGCTCTTCCTTATTTATTTATGACATTATCCACAACTTCGCTGGTCGTAGTATTAGTATAACCTCATTAGACTTAAAAGCTTAGTTTTTTGCGCACACTTTGTTGGGAGGGAGCAATTGTGCTATGTACGTTGTATGTAGTTCGCTAACAGTATACGCATATACCCACCTTTGTGCGCCGCAACTGCCGCTTTCCCTTGTACCAGGTGATGATGGCGTTCGGACGTGAACCGGTTGATTCGCATATGACTTCGTAGCGACGATCCGCCACCATCGAGTTGGGCGGCTCAATTATTTTCACCGTCAGCGGTTTCACTAGAAAACAAATACAAATACGAAGAAAAAATTCAACAAACAAAGACATCATTGCAACGACAACAACAACAACAGCACGTTTGCATATAAATAAGTAAGTAGAAAATAGCGCAAAAAAATTAGACGAATAGCGGAACTATGCAGCGTAGCGCAGCACTAACAGCAAAAAAATAAAAACAAAACTCAAACAATACTAAAAGTAACAAAAACAAATGCTAAATAAACAAGCAGACGAGCGAATAGCTAACGAACGCGCAACGGAGAGGAGCTTATGAGAATGAAAGCAGCGCGTACTGACGGGGCCTTAAAACCTTTTGAATGTCGCAACTTTCAGCCACAATTCACACACCCACATCCCAGCGCTGCGCAACGCAAACAAGCATGTGAGGATCTATCTACCTTTGCCTAATTAGAACATCAAAATACGTTAGCACAGTTTTAGGTGTTGTAGGACGTGTCTGTGTGCGACTCGCTGTAGTCCTGGTCTCCCTGCAGCAATATGGCGGCAAATTTTCCGTAAAGCTCTAGTATTTCACTGGTTAAAATTTGACTGGCCAGAATTGGGCATCTGTTTGCATCGAAAATGTCAGCCTTCGACCAGTCCCCAAGGAATCGGTCTAGAGATAGACGAAAAGTACAGTTTGGCAGTGACAGGGGGGTGTTGTCTTGCAATTCAATAAAAAGAATTTAAAGAACACCACCCTGTAAATGTCGCAATCGCTTGGTCTGGCCTTGATGCAAAGTGAACATTTGAACACACATTTACATGCGTGGCTGTAGCTCAGCGCGCAGAGATGCTTGCCACTATTTGTTAGCTTTCAGGAGGGTCCGGGTTCAAATGCCGTCAGAGGCAACATGGATATAAATGATAATTTTTTTTTCCGAAATATGAAAAAGCTTCTGTGAAGTGCAGAACGTAATCTTACTCCAACGAAAAAAATCTCCAAAATTGGACTAGTCCAGGACTATCTTACGGTCCTTTTCCAATGACACGCCATTGCTAAAAATGGCAGTTGAAACCATTGGCAGGGAATTAGGAGGGACTAGTCCTGGTAACAATTAGGACTATCTGAGGGCTAAACTAGTGTGAGTCTGAATTGTTGCAGGGCTGTTTGTATGCAGGTGTGCTAGTGTGCAAGTGAGTATGACAGTGTGAGTGTGTGGAATTTTGTTTATTTTCATTTGTACAGGCTTTGGTTGGCACACATTTGTCACGAGCTAGCCGACCTCATTCAGCCCCCTGTTCGCTATCCTCGTAATCCTCATACTCGTTTTGCATTTCCTTTTTTTTTCTTATGCACTCAGATATATTCGCTCGTCTATTGGAATCGCATACGCTACGTCAACCGACCTCCGCAGCCAGTTTTAGTTTAGTCACGAGCCATTTTAGTTTATTTCTCTCACACTCTCTAGAAAGCCTTACACCAAACGAAAGGAAAACGAAAAATGTAAACAAACAAATAGACGAATAAACCGACTTACAATGCATATCCAGTAAAAAGCTTTTCTCCTTAGGCTTATCTAATTGTGTATTCAATGCTTGACAAGTAAAAACGGAATTTAAATCAGTACGTTGAACCGATGGCCAAAGTAGCCTATTCTCGATAACATCGCCGGAATTGTGTTCGTATTGATTGTCGACAAGTAGTCCATTTACGAGCCAGCGTACTTGAGGTTGTGGGCGGCCTAAAGTCGACGAGCGGATGAGTGGATGAGTAGACAAACAAGGATATTGTTGTAGCCGCAGTTGAGGCAGCAGAGTTGTTGTTTTAGTAGTTGTTGTATTTTTTTTTAAATCGTTGTTACGTTGTGGTTGCAGCAGTTGAAATGGCATCAGGCGTGTAAACGAAAAGAACAAAAATAAACAAACATACATAAGTATGCGCATAAGTAAATACTTAAGTAAGTAAGTAAGCCAATAAGTTTATCAAGATGTGTATGCAAATAAATTAGTTTATGGGGAAAAGGAAATCTCACGTTGTAGTGGATTTTTTCCAAACCAAACTCAATTCATTTGCCTGCTAAGAAATTGACAGGAAATTGAATTTTTTAAATCAAAATGCTCTAGGTTAAAAAAAAAAGTAATCAATAAAACTTCCGTAAAACTTCTAACAAAATTTGGTAGTCTTTCATTTCTATAGGAAATCAAAAAAATTCAAACAAATAACAAAAAATAAAAAACTGACAGTTGTTTGGCTTACCTCCCACCACACGACACGTGATAACAATGTCATCTCCTTCCTGCTTTGGCCCAAGCAGCGAGCCATTCAGCTGTCGTCCCCAACGATCCAGTATGATTGGTTGTTCGGGAAGTACTGCAAAAGGTAGCAGGAATGGAAAAATTTACTTTTTGCAACTCCAAAATATTGCATTTTTGTACTACTAATTAAAGCAACTTGTTTTTATTAAAAGCATGAAAAAGAATAGACATTTTTAGCGCAATTAAGTTGCAACAGATGTCCTGCTTTTAGACAATTTTTATTGCTAATTGTTGGTACTTACTTATGACTGTGAGGTTGAAACGGAAGCTTTGCGTTTGACTTGTACGGAAGTCTATGCGACAACGATAGACACCTTGGTCATGACGTTTGATGTCCTGCAAATAAAAAGCGAGTATTTTATTTGTTTTTGTTCTAGTACAGAATTATAAAAATAAGCTATAATGACAGTGGCTTCGCTCTATTATAATACCTACTAAATTATAGTTTAAAAATCCAAAACGCGTTTTTATGACAATCTGAACAACATGAACATGCGCCTTGACGCGGTGAGAGGGCTTAGTCGAATCGCTAATCATACCTTCACACGGATGGTGGTGCAACTGTGTAAGTACATGCACTCACCAATTGCACCCTATTCCCTTGATTCGGGCTGCTTTTTGAACGATGACCCAGATTTGCTAGAAGGTATGCGGTGCTTCTCGGGAGGTCGGAGGATAACAGGAAGAATACCCTCTGAAAGGCGCGCATCTGGCAGTAAGGGTAAAGTGTAAACCTGGCCCCCATCTTTTCGTCATGGTAAAACCAAATCCATATACCTCTACGTTGGGTAACCAGCAAGCTGGAAATACCCCCGCCGCGGCCTGGGCATCGGAAGTGCATAGTCAGCTGAACAGAAGGAGGCAAACGGAGAAGTAAGTTGCTGGTCATGACGAGTACGCAAAATCCGCAAAAGCCATCACCAAAAAAAAAAACAATAAATAAATAAATATTAAAAATCAACGAGATATTTGAGCTCGTTGAAACTTGCACTTCATTGTATGGGCCATAAAATTGCATACCCAAAAATGTTTTAAAGATTTTAATGAAAATTTGTAGAATGTGCTTGGGCAGCATTTTAATTTTTTTCTAGGTCACTTATTTGAGTCACTGTATATGCCTGTGGTCTGCAGAAAATACAGTACTCAAAAAAATTAAGGGAGGCAAAAAAATTTTAAATGACATCATCCTAACGGATAGGATGAAAATGCAATTTTGGAAACGTTTTTGTTTTTTTTTGTCCACGGATTTGAAAAACGTGTTTTCAGTTAGACCGGCCCATAGATCAGATAGCCTGTTTATTTAGCTCTAATTTTCATTTTTCTTAAAACCTCCATTAATTTGTTTTTAAGACAGGAGAATACAATTTCAATCTTTCCTTTTTTTGTGAGTTAAAAATGAAAAGGCGCTCTTCAGCTAAATGAATTTTCAATAGAACTCAGTTTATTCGCCTTAATATTAGCCTCACGCTCACATGCTACTCCTAAGAAAAGAGCGTTTCGTCTCTTTTGTTCATCCAGCTTACTTTAAAGCTCACTTTATATTTAAAGGTTGCACTAAAATGTATTATTGGCAGCGTGTGCCCGGCGGGCGACTGCGCGGCGTATTCCCGTATACAAAACGCTCTGCTTGGGAAGACAGCGAAAGCTTCATTCAACCGCACGACTTGTTCGCACGCACACAGTGACATCAATTGCACGCGCACTACAAAAATGCTCTGCCCAAGCTGCCCACCTCTGGTCTAAAGTAAAGCAAAAAAAAACATACATACGTCAACAACCGATAATGTAAATGTTTAACTTTAGACATAGCTTTATTCTTTATCCAACCTTTAAATATAAAGTGAGCTGTAAAGTTAAAGGTTACTTCAGAAAACGGCCCTAAAAATAATAAAGAGAACGCAAACACATATACTGTTTTTCTTTATTTTAGCCACTCCGAATTGAGGGTTGGAACTCATTTCCAATTAAAATTTCCATCGTTAGATCTGAACTTCACATTTTCTCACGAGTTTTCGATGTAGCATAAGAAGGTCCACCGAAAGCAGGGCATGAATCACGTATGACTACAATCGTCTGGACGATATTGTGTTAAGATTGTCAACTCGGTTCCAATTTCGCTTCACGTAAGAGTAACAGGAAACGTAACAGCAACACAAGTACATGAATCAGTGTTTTGTCAGAATCGTTCGAACGAATATCTTTTCAAAGTAACGTGATTCATAACCAGTAAAATTTTAAAAGTGGTCTACGAGAGAAAAAGTTTGGGAACCTACACTTTTGTTTAACATATTTGCCTGAAAAGTTCAAAAAACCCATATATGATACCCCAGAATTTGATTATATTTTTGCGAGTGTGGGATCGACGTAGACCTTTCGAATTTAATTATAACATTCGTACCAAATTTCAGTGTTAAACGAATTATTCCAACCTTTATTGCTTAACTTGACCCGGCAAAAAATGATCCCTGCGTTCTGCCAAAACAAACATTTTTTTCAAAATTTTCTTGCAAAAATACTTTTGGTTCAAAGGTACAAGGCGAGTTTTTAACCTGGTGCGTTATAATCTACCTACATACGTAAAGTTGAAATAGATTTTTCTTGCGTATTAATGCAAAAACAATTTGCATTTGCTCTGTCTGATTGGTGTTCACAACTGTTTGAAGCGGAGGAAAGATTGCCCTTGTTGCAGTGGACGTATATGTAAATGAATATACGAGTCATACCAGCCTCCAGTTCCAAGTTTACTGCCGTTCGGTTCATGAGCAAGTGCGGTGGAATTTCGTTTGATATGGAAATGTTCGAAAATTTTCTGTAGATTCTAGACTGATTCAATAATTCTCAATACAAATTCTTAAATACGTATATATCAATGTTTATATACATTCATAAACTAATGAAAGTAAGTAATTTAATATATGTAACCTCAAATAATCCCTTAACGGCCTCAAGTTCAAAAATACATTTGAACTCATCACCGAGTTTGGATTAACCAGTTTATTACTCAACGTTTGACAACCACGTGCGGAGGCTAAAAATATCATTTATAATTTAGGAAACTAGTCAAGCAAACACAAGATAAAGTTACTCAAATGCCTGACATGAAGGTAAATAAATTCTGATAAGTAAGCACGTAAGTTGGTAAGTAATAGATTACAGCTCCAACTAGTTTAATTCATTCACTTAAATACACTCAATATTATTTATGCACGTAATTAATCTTTTATTGTGGTAAAGCAATTAAATACTACAAATTCGTGGTGATTGGAGGAGAACGAAGAGTGCAAAGTGAAATACATTAGGCTTGTTTTGCCAACTATTGATGGCGTGAGGGCTAAGGTGGGTGAGCACGTGCAACGCATGCCGCAATTAAGTTAACTAATGGCCGTCGCAATTGTTATTATTATCTGCTAGGATCATAAGAGATGTCTGGATTGCATGCGAATGTATATAAGTACAACGAAAAGCAACAACATATTTACAACAATCATTTAAAGATAAATGTATGAGCACAAATAGACGATGGGAATTCAAAGCAAAACAGCATATCCAGGCCGCAGAGGGCACAAGGGCGCAACGGACTGGCCTTCGAATGGTATGGGGCAATTAATTTTTTTGTATCTATTTACTGAAGTTTTACAGCAAGGAATGCCCAAAAGAAATCGACTGCCACCCAGAAGTAATCATGCCAAAAATGTGCGCCACAAGCACGCGCCTCAGACACGATGAAGTTAGTTCTTTAATTTGTTTCACATTTTTGGTGTTTTGTTTGTTTGTTTTGTTTGTTTCTCGCTGGAGGAGTTCCGATGTTAACCTTTTGTTACTTATCGATTCGTTCAGCGAATTCTTTTCTCAACTCCACTCCACAGCTAAGCTACGCCCAATAAATCTCGCCACCCAGCTGCCACAAGTCACTTAAGTCCGGCTCGTTGGCCAACGTCGGAAGCCAGCCAAACCAAAAATTCTTCTTCGGTTGCTTAACGCTCCGTTGCTGGCGAGTGCCAAAGATTGCGTGGCATGTTGTACAAGTGATTGGAAAACATGCAAGCCAAGCGGCACAAAATTCTCCATCGGAAGCTCACAGAAGCGACAGCGCGTAACACGCTAAAGAAATAAAGCGGACTGGTGCGTCGTAAAGTAGGCAATGAAGAGTATTTGCAAAATTGACTACAGTCGGCTCCGCTTTATGAAATTTCCTTTAACAGAAATGGATTAGAACTTTGGTAAAGTATTTCACTAAGTAGTAGGGTGAAGGAAAAAATACCTTTTGAAGTTCCCAAAAACCCTAATAGTTTTGAAAAAAATAAAAATTTATCAAATGTCAGAACGTCACGATTATGGCACGGGCATTGATTCGAGAATCCCCAACTATCTGTAATACTTCATATGTCAATAACCAGGAACGTATCCAAACCACTCTTTTTCAAAGCGAGAAGCATACGTGTTCAAACGGTTGTCTTTCAGCAACCCCCCAAGCCAGGGAGCGTCACTTACATTAGCCAATAAGAAGAAGAAAAGGTGTCTGATGCTTGCTGCGAAACACAGACCTCCATGCGCTGGATGCACTTGTCCTTTCAGTGCATCCAGTACTAGGCCCAAGAATAAAAACTGATAATATGCCTACTACTTCTTGCTTATATGCCACCTTGTGGAGAATTGCTGCACTAGCGAATGTACTGCTGGGCCCGCCATGAATCATAGTTTGGCGATGGCTAGTCTTACATCAGCCAAACGGCATCTTTGAATAAAACCAAATACAGTTGAGGGTCTTTCATAGTTTGGCGGTCACTAGTCTTACATCTATTACTCCAAAGAAACAATGGAAGAGAGTGATTCTATCAAGACCGACCTTAGGCCATACGGCAGCTTTGGCTAAAATTAATGGTAGACCTGGTGCAAGGATTTATTGTGATAATATTGCCACAAGTATGCTAAGAAGATACCTCTACCTGACGTAAGTTCGACAATAGAGATATCGAAAACAACCCTGTTTCTGCGTCAGGTGGGAGGTCAGCCAACTTAAAGTGAGGCTATTTATATCCCGGCGCCCATTGACGATCGTCATTGCCTCTGAAAGTGTAAGCAATTAGCGTGGGTATTAAGGCGACATGCAACCACTGTAGTTAAATGGAATTAGATCATAATGTCAGCTTAAATACTAAATAGGACTCTAGAAAAATAGATTTGGTCATGATACAAAGGACCTTCGATAAAGCGTTGATTGACGAAAAATCGAACTTACTCTGGCAAAGAAAGATAGAGGGATGCATTATTCATTCAGTGCTTTGGATGGTATGTCGATGATTTTCTTGGCCCTCCTATAAATGAAAACTGGTTCA